TTTCCTGGTAAGAATTGATGACTTGTGGTACATTATGATTGTGATAACTTCTTCAGTGGGGAAAACACCGCCTTAGTGATGTCTTGCATTCCAGGAAGTGTGTGAAGGTAAAACCACCAGTGTTTTATTTCTTTCTCTCTCAAACTTGAAACATTTATTTAAAAAATTAAGTAGGAAGGGAGAATAGGTAAAAAAAAAAAAAAAAAAAAAATTGACTTTCTTCTTTTGTGCTAGCCCCACCTGAAATACAATGAAAATAAGTATAACTATTATTTCTAGCCAAATAGGATTGTATATCAGCACGTTTGCTACCACCAGAGCATTTCCCCTGCACGTGACATAAGTCTACCAGTGACAACATTTACAATAAAGGTACACAGGTGGATCTGTGCTCTGAACTCCAAGCTCCAGGGACCAGCAAGGCTTTACATGGCTTTCAGTCAGTCCTGGCTGGGGCACAATTCCTGGGCTTGGTAGGTCCCTCCTGGTGCTATTCCAGGCTCTTGGTGCTGGAAGGAGAAAAGGGAAGAACCCACTTACTGAAGAACAAGAACTCAGAAAAGATGATTTTGATTTCTCTTTTATAACTGATCCTTCTGTTTTCACTGGATTTGCTGTTGAATTCCTGGGTACAGTGTGTCAGTGGTACTGGACTGTAATCAGATGATGTGTGACACAATATGTTCTTTCTTTCTTTCTCTGAAGAGTGGAAATTTGCTTTGATCAGGGGGCCTTTGCTCCCCTGGCCTACATGGGACTCGTGGCAGTGGGCCAGGTGTTCATATTCAAACAGCTTTTCATGGCTGCTTTGATGCATATCAAAGATTCTCCTCACAAGCCATTATTTCATTAAAAATTCTAGAGGAGTGAGAGTAAAAAAACCTTTATTAAATGGCATGAACTTCGGCATCTGAACGTGATAAAATAATAATTTATGATATATTTTTAAGGATATGAGATTAAAATGCATATTCATTAAATGATTAATGAAAACCTTTGTGAGACTCTCTGCTACGAGTTGTGAGTAGCTGTTTAATCAAACTCTTTCTATGGAAAAATGCATTTCATTATAACATAATTAGCACATCTATTGTGTTTTTAATATAACTCGTGCTAAAGGGTGTTGGATCTGGAGTTTGCTCATGGCAATTAGCAGTGAAGGAATTTAACGCCTTTGCTTTATTCCAGGCTTTGTAAATTATAAGTGCTGTATCTGGGGAAAATTGATGTTTTTTTTTTTTTTTTTTTTTTTAAAAGTGCTAGAATAATCCTGGGAATTGTTGGGGTAGACAGTTGCAGTAAGAAGGAATGGTAAGAGACTGTGCTGCGTAGAGCTGCAGATTTAGGTGTCATTTATTTCCTGTCACTGAGGTGTGACAATCCTGGGCTGTGAGAAAGTTGGAGCTTTTTTGTACCCCAGGTACACTGGATGATCCCCGTGGGTCCCTCCCAGCTCAGCTGGTTCTGGGATTTGAGAGGAGTAATTTTCCAGTGGGAAAAAAGGGCAGGATCTCAGTGAGCACGGTGGTTCCAAATCACCCTGGTGCCTGGCTGCTGAAATCCCAGAGCTCTGCTGGGCCATGGAATTCTGCAGGCAGAGGGTTCACCCAGGCCAGGGGCACTGCTGAGGCTTTCCCCTTCCTTACCCTGGTCTCTGCACCAAAAGCTGTGCAGGGAGTGGGAGAAAACTGCTTTTACAGGAAGTCTTTCAGGTAATTTATGCCTAGGCTGGGTTCTCCTGGAGCACAGACACCGGTGTTTTTACGGCTGAGGTCAATGTGGCACAAAGCCTGATGTTGTCTCTGTGTGAAACTTATTACTGCACAGAAAATACAAACTCGAGATTCACTTTTATGTAGTACAAAAAAAACCAAAACGAAAAAACCAGTACAGGAATATAAAAAGGAACTTTACATCTTTATACAAGGGAACTGCATACGGTGTTCCTAAAAACAACTTTAAAAAACACGATTACAGGTAATACTTAAAAACAAGAATTACAGGTAATACTGTCTGGGTGATGCCTATCAAAAGTACTTTAGTTACTGCACTACATAATTTATCAACTAACTTTACCTGCTGATACTCAATACCTTAATTACTGACAAAAAATAATTAAACTGTATTAGTATTTAGCATTCTTTATAATGCACCAACATGTGGAACCCCAATGGCATGTACTGTTGGTTGGATTAGGCAAGAGAGAATGAACACATGAAAACTAAAACCAAGGCTGTCATCCCAAAATGTGCTTCTTTTTTTTAGTGAAGGATGGAATCCAAAACTGATTTGACTGGTGGACAGAATTTTACTCAGTTTTCTTTTAGTTCATGTTTGAAAATTTGAGTGATTGCATCACTGATGTGACTGTACATCAGTGTCCAGGCAAGTATTGTGTTGGATAACTTTTTCCAGTAGTTTTCCTGTTTAGGAGTAATATGAGACCATATTATAGTGCATTCCTATTTCCTGCCAAGAAAGAATTATGGGTGAAGGGAGTGTAAATTAAAGATGACATGAATAAGGGAAAAGCAAAGTTGTGAGGTTCCACTATACTGGTTTAGGAAAAAAAAAAGCAAACCCTAGTGTTATTTGGTTAGCTAACAGATTTAAATAATTAAATCAACAAAAGTAATACCTACAGCTCCAGCACAGATGCTGCACAGGGGCAGTATCTGGGGATAGGGCTCTGTTCCTGCTGATGGCAACAGGAAGCTGTGTTGCTGCAAGCCAGGGACAGGCCATTGTCCTAAGAGACCCGTTTTTTCCAAAAAATGTATTTGCCTGGGGAGCTTTTCCCCTGGGAACTTTCATTCTGGCCATTCTGTGGCTCTTCATCAGGTGAGACACCAAACACACAGGGACACGGCAGCTGCAGCTCCAAAACCTTCCTCTCACCTGTGGTTCTTTATGCAGACAAGAGTGTGGGTGTGTAGCATTCAGGTTGAGGAGTCTACAGTGCTTTCCTAGGAGGAAAACACTCGTTTTACAGTACCTGCTTAGAAAAAAATCACAACAGATTCACAGTAATGAGGCCCTTCGTTTGTTTGTCCCTGAAAAAAATACAATTGCATTAATAACATTGAATAAAAACCCTATTCAGCCTCTTTGGAAATATAGAGAGACCTGTGCTTCCACCTGGAGATGGAGAAGTACAGTACTGGAGTCTTAACATTCCCCTGATGTCCCTGTTTCCTGCCCTGCAGGATATGTTCCATGGAGTAACACTAAAATCCTATTTACAGAGCGAAAAACCAATTTTGCTGTTAGCTAGAGCAAATTCTAGCATGCCAGAAAGGTGCCTGAAATCACCATCAGGCTGTTAAAAATGACAGATGAAACCAGATTGTGTGTCTAAAAATCCTGCCTAATTTTATCTTGAATAACTCGTACATGTAATCGGAGACTATAAAACAAAAATAATTAATAGAATGGAAAGAAGGAGAAAACATGCCTCTTTTTGAAAATGATGGAATAATTTCTAATATTAGGTGATGGACCATATGTTCCTCCTCTCCTCTACTGGGTAAGCAGAAGGGTGGAATATCAATAAAGATGTTCCAGAAGGGGCAGGCAAAGCAGCCAGCTGGAGATACAGGGGGGTTAAAACATCCCTTAGCAAGGCCACTGAACCTCTCTCTCCCAGTGGATGGTGACCTTGGACACATGTTGGTGGAAACAGTACAGGAGGAGAGGAATGAAGGAGAAACAGGGGGGGGAAGAAAAACCCACTTGTTAAGAATTGTCTGCCTCGATGGGAGTCCTAGGAGACCTGGGCAGGCCCATGAGAAGCGATTTTGGGGACAGAACTGAATGTTAGCAAGGACAGCAGTGCTGGGGGAAGTTAATATACATGTTCTCTGTGTGTCTTTTTAACCCTACTGTTGTCAGGGTTTTTTTCTCATGTCTGTTGGAAATCCTAGAATGGCTTGAGGAAAGAGCTGCGAGTTCTCCTTTGGCCACTGACGGTCTCCTGATGTCTGCTTGTGGTGGGAGGGAGAAAACTCATGGCTAATTTGAACTTAATACACAAAATCTTCACTTGGCTCTGATCCATACAGCTCAGCCAGCATTTTAAACCTGGGTCCCCAGTCGTTGAGGAAGTCGTAGTCGATGTCTGAGTCCGAGGAGCCCGACTGCAGCGAGCTGAGCGACTCCGCGATGGACTCGGCCCCCTCGTAGCCGTAGATGTGCAGCGTGTCGTAGGGCAGCAGGTCCCTGTCGTTGTCAGCTTCGCTCTTCTTCTCCTCGATCATGCTCTCCATTTCTCCAGCACCAGAAGTGGCGTTTCCAGGAGGCTTTTGGACTTGTGCGTAGGGAGAGGGAGCTGCCTCAGCCTTCGCGCCGCTCTTGCGGACGGAGTTGAGCACGGACACGTCGTAGCTGGTGGTGTCCATCTCCCCACCGCCTTCCTCGTCATACCTGACCAGCTGCTCGTGGATCTCTGCCACGCTCCTCCCCAGGCCGCTCAGATCCTTCTTGTGCCTCTTCCTCAGAAGCAGCAGCATTGCAAGCACTGCGAAGAGAACTTAAATGAGCACGTGTAAATAAAGAAGCAAGGCAGCGAAATAAATTGCATTTAAGACATGTAACACAGTCTGAAGTGGTTGTTGTGTTTTTTTGTTTTTTTGGTTGTTTTTTTTTTTTTTTTTTTTTTTTTCCTGGAGTGTTTTTTTTCAGCAACTGTTTTTTAAAGGAATAGTTAAAAATACTGTTTTGTTGTAGGATTACAATGTTCTTGAAGAAGTTCAGTCTGGACAGGAATTGCACCCCTGACTCTCAAGCTGTAATCACAAGTACAAACATACATACATACAGGGTGTCACATGTTCATTGAATCACCTACTGCCTTGAGCTGGTAAATCTTTTAATGCCAAGCATCAAATGCCACTTGTGTGGTACTTGCAAAGGAGGCCAGTTTCAAGCAAGAAAAAGTGCTGTTCCTTCTCTGACAGATTTCAAATGCAGCAAATGAGCACTGCTCTGCTGGTTTGTTCCAGATAGATTTATATATGTATGTTCACTGGACTGTTTGAAGAGTTTCCAGACAAGTTCAGCCTTTGGAAACAGGAATCCAATTGTTATTGCCCTAGCAAAAATGTCCTATTTTACAGCTGCACGTGAGCCTGGCAGCAGTAAATCAAGTCTGTTATGCATATGTGCAATAACCTTTTCCAGTGACTCAGCCTGCCCAGTGGAGGGAACAGCTTTGCAGCTGAGCTGTGTAAAACACACCAAAGAGGAAGAAACACGTGAGATGAATCAAACAGTTACAGCATTTCTGGCTCTGTGGCCAGTTTATAGGCACAAAGCTTCTGTAGATCTCATTTGAGAAAGAACAAAACCCTTTAATGCAGAGAACATTACCCAGGTCAGAGCCTTACCAATGATGGTGAAGATGCAGATGAAAATGGCCACCAGTGCTTGTATGCTGACTCCCACTTGTTTGGCTCTTTCCTCGCAGAAAGTGAAGTTGCCTTTCTCGTTGCACTTGCAGACACTGATGACAAGAGTGTTTGTGCTGCTGAGCTCAGGAACACTGTTGTCTGAGATGATGACAGGCAGGTAGTGGATTTTGGCAAGTTCACGATTAAACTGTCCGTATTTGACAGTGATATTCGCTGTGTTATCTGCAAGAAGTAATGACATCTAATTAAGTGATAATCTCTGCCAGATCTTCCTTAAAGTTTCCCAGCCTGGTGGCACATCTTCCCCTGAGACAGAGCCAGCCTTCAGAGAAACCTGGCTGGCAACAAACAACTTTTTTTTTTTTTTTTCCCCCAGTATGTTAAGCCTTTAAAAAATAAATATTACTTAGCTCAGCCAGACCAGTCACAGGTCACTGCTGCAGTTTTTTCTCCCCTGAGCCGCAGTGTCCCACTTGGAGTAGCTGAGAAAGGCACTGCAGGGATACTGTACCGTAGTTCTCGATCAGGGAGAAGTTGCTGTCTTCTGTGGCCAGGGAGAACTTGAAGAACCCTCTGGGTGACAGTTCATCCTTGTCAGTAGCTGAAATCCTGACGATTACCTACAAAGATGGGAGAGGTCCCAGCTTTCATTATACATTTTCTCCAGTGATAAAACCGTGCAGAGCATTTGTGGAGCTGGGCTGTGTATCCTGTGTAACCCTTCAGTGACGGGCAGGACACAGATAGCTCATGATGCTCCTCTACAAGTTCTTTCAAGGCAAGTAATTTCTTTACAGGTCTCTAAAAAAGATCAGTTTTGCCTCTTCAGATTTGGTGTAATGAAAGCATAAAAAAAGCCTTATGCTCAAAGGCAGGTGGCTTGTTTAAATGCCTGAGGTATCTGTCTTCTCGAGTGTTCAACCCACTTTGGGGGTGTGACTGTCATCCTTGGAATGCCACTGAGGCTGCCACACCTGAATGACATGTTGGCTTTGAAAACCTCAACCTAGCATAGATTAGATGTGTAAAATAAAACCAAAAAGTGTGTGATTGTGTCCCTGAGATATTTTAAAAATTAAACCAAGGGTGAAATTAATCCCTTCTGTGTTATATCAGATTCCAGAAAGAGTCCAGACTGTGACAAAGTCTCTTAATGAAATGAATATTCCATGTATGGGCTGATGTCCTGGTTCTGGCCCAGGCTCTAAGGTTGTTCTATCCCATCACTGCCAGGGGCAGGGGGAAGGGACTCTCTCTGTGTCTCTTCTGAGAAGAAAGGACATTCCTTTTGGGCTGGGGGACAGTGTGGAGGGCAGAGGGTCTGTCCACCATTGTTTTTCATTTTCCCGGGCCTGGTGAGCATTTTGCACGTAAATCACCCTCTCTCTGTATACTTTTGCAGTTAATATTGCTGCTGTTACTGTTTGTTTTCTTATCTCATTGCTGCTTCTAATAAATTGTTCTGATCTCAGTCTTTGCCTTTTGGGCTTCCAACTGGAGGGAAATGAATGCCAGTGGGAGCACCAGACTGGGGAGTACCATTTCTAAACCACGACACAAAGGCTCTCAATTAAACAAACATTACATGTATGGGCTGAATGCTTGTGTCTGAGGCTGAACATGTAAATCCAAAATACTGACATAACACATTTGCCAAATACTAACACTACTGTACATGCAGAAACGTGCCCTCTGCTGACCACTACAATGATGTCACGTGCAGCAATGTTTCTCTTACTATTTTAAAATGGTTTCCTTCTCAGTGTCACACATGAATATTTATGTGATAGGACTGAACTGCTGCTTTTTGCTCTGCAAACTTGACTGTCCTTCATGGCTCAGCTGCTAATGCACCTACAGACTGGAGAGCCTGGAGGGAGAGGAGCAGCACAGCCCGTGTGTGTGAGCAGATAAAAGTCAATGTTCTGACAGTGTGATGTCCTGAAGAGGTTTTCCCGTCCACTGATGTTTTGGGAATGGCTGAAAAGATCAGGTGTTTCGGTGTAAAAACTGAGACCAACTTTTATTAGCAGACATCTTTCACTTGGGCTTACAAGCAGTAATTCAGGTTTTGGGGAAAACTCTCCCATCTCACCTTTCCTGGTGCAGCATTTTCACACACTCTGGGTTCCTCAGGATAAACAAGTTCTGGAGCATTATCATTTTCATCACCAACTATTACATGAACCTGGGCATGTGATTCTCTGTCAGAAAGACGACCTAAAATGACAACAACAGTGCAGGTCTCAGATGCCTGCAATCCCAAGGCCGGCTAAACCCCCCCTTTCCACCCTTTGTGCCCCCCTCTGTGCCTCCTGCAGGAAAACTATGGAGCTCCATCTTTAATTTAAACTTTTCCCTTGACATTTAGATATTTTCCCTACAAAACTTTCCCAGTGGGCTAAACCATCAAGGATCTTTGAGGAGTAAAATGACCCTTTTGAAGTTCATGGCTTCCTGATTCTTCACACTGTGTGGCTATGGGAAGATTTGGAAGGTTATTGTGCAAACCCTGCAGCATCCATGTCATTTGTAGCTTAGTGGGAACAGGCTGGCAGGTTGTGGCTTTCCTTTTTGATAAGCCACAGCTCTGCTGGAAAGGTGTCCACTGATTTCTTCCAAACAGGGAAGTGGATGGCACTTACCATCTTCAAGGATTTCCTGAGCTGCCACAGTGATGTTGTACGAGGCGCTGAATTCTCTGTCCAGGGGCTTGGGAAGTTGAATAATTCCAGTATCAGACACCCTGATATAGTCTCCATTAGGACTCGCTCTTCGTCGACTAAATCTGTTTTTGTTTAAAATGAGATGTGTCAATTCCAGGGGATAATGCTATGTTTCACTTCATTTCTTTTAGTGGAAGGTCAGAGAGTTCTGGTGTGACAAATTACATTAATATCTTGACCAGGCAGGCTGAGAATATTTCCCTAAAACTATGCAAACTGTGAGAGGGAAATACATCTGCTGAAAGAATTTCCATATTATTGTACTTTGCTATTTTCTTCTCCAACCACGTGCCTGGGAGCGTTCATACAGTAAAAAATATAACACTTTTGGGAAGATATCCAGGATTATGCATTTTGCCCTAAATGCGCAAGTGTTTCATCAGTAAATTCGTGTGGTAATTAAATGGATAAGAGTAATTTATGTTCAGTTTTTGGTTACCATATATATTCATGGCTGAAGTGCTGGAAAAATTAAATTGTGGGGGTTTTTTTTGATTTTGTTTGGCACTCACATTCTGAGAAATGGGGCCAAAGTCTCAGTTTTTTGTCAAATTCTTGGCATCCTAAAGAATTCTCCACTTTAAAGCAGAATTACTGAAGCTGGTGTTGTCCTACCTGATTTTCCGTTTAGCTGCGTCGGGGTCGTGTGCCCAAACTGAACCAAGTGTTCTTACTTCTGGATCATTTTCCATTACTTTAAATTCATATGGCAGTTTAGTGAAGACAGGAGGCTCATCCACATCAGTGACTTCAATGGTGACTGTTGAAATGCTCCTCGAGCCACCAGATTTGAAATACCGGAGATCAACGGTGGGATCTGTTGCTTCAATGTCAAACCTGTATTCTGATACTTTTTCAAAGTCCAGGGGCTGAAAAAAAAAGACACATACAGAAATTTTTCCCTTGGAAGTGTCAAAGCAAATGTTGCATTATCTATGTGTGCAAATTCAAGCCCCAAGACTAACTCATGTTTGGAAATATTACCAAATTGCACCTTGGTTGGACTTATGGGAGAGCATTTCCCACCTGAGCTCCTCTGTCATAGCGTGGCTCCAACAGCCTCTGGTTTGGAACAGACTCATCCTCTGTTCCAAGCTCATCAAGGATTTCTTGGTTTCAATACTTTTCTTTCTATAATCCTGCAACAACCAAACCTGGTTAAACTCCTTTGCCCCAAGGGCTGGGGACCAGGTTGTCTCTTGGCAAGGCTTTCTGTTCTGAAGGCATTCCTGGCAGACTGCAGAGCTGCACTGACTGACAGCTGGGGCAGCTAGTGATAAATGACATCCTCTTCCCTGTTCTTCCCATTGCCTGAGGTTATAAAAGGAGTCACACAGTGGGAGGAAGGCTACGAGCTGGGGCAGCTATGGCTCATTTCAGAGTCTGGGTCCCTTTGTGCTACTGCCTGAGATTCTGAAAGCACTCTGAGATACACAGGAATTAATCGTGGTGACTCTTGTTTTCCTTCATTATGGTTCATTCTTTGGGTTTTTTTTTAAATTCTCAAACCCACTTGATTTGTACCAAGGGACCTTCCTACATTATGCAAAGCGCTGCCAAACCAGACTTCGTTGATTTCATTGACTTGTCATTAAAAAGGAGAGGAGGGAGGACTATAAATCACCTCAGATTGACAGGAGTGTGTTTTTCACTTCCAAATATCTCTCTGTAACTGTTAAGACTAGAAATGTTGTTAAGAAGAAGAGAAAATTTGCAGGAAAAATTACCAAGTACTTCAAGATTGACAGTGAAGTCCTCAGCTCACAGTAGGTATAAGCAGCTTTCCTTCACCTAATGCAGCCCTTCCTCTGGTCTTCCCAGGACCTGAGGAATCTGCCCAGAGGAGGAGCAGGAGACCCCACACGCCTGGACCTTCTTAATGAGTTGTAAGAAATTAATGGGGAAGGGAAGGGAGCTGTGGCTCAGACTGGAGCCAATGCCAAAGTGTAAAGAGGGCTTTTAGAAGTGGTCAGGTGGACTTGTTCACATTTTCTGCTTTGGTTTCACTTAGGCTGCAGAAGGGAAGGATTCTTTGACTTGGTCAGGTTGTCCAACTCTTAAAATCACTGATTCTTTGAAGCACCCAACTGTGAGAGGAGCCCAAGGTGTGTCACCTGAATATCTGAGTTAGTCCCCATTGCACTCTGCAGCAAGTATACATTTTTTCAGGAGTGGAGATTAAAATGGACTAGAAATCACCAGCTCTTCTTCTCACAATGCTTACAGAGCAGGTGATCAGGATCAATGTATTTCATGGTGACTTCCATGCATTTCCACTTTTCCTGCTGCTAATGCTAAACCAAATCAAACACTCCAGTGAAAAAAACCACAGTAATCATCTTTGTTACTGGGAAAATTACCTTTTTTGGCCTAATGATTCCTTCATTTGTGTATGGATTTGCTACAATTTCAAAGGTGTCCCTGTAATCTCCTCGGACAAAACTGTATTTTGTGTTTCTATGTTGTGGTTCATCGATATCTTCTACTTTGACTCTGCCAACTTCTCCTCCTACTGAAATGTTTTCAGGCACTTTAAAGTGGAATGATGCTGTTAAAAGAAAAAACAAACACATAAAGAGTGTATTTATGGAAGTTAAAACTTAGTTAAATTAATGCTTAGCTTATAGATGTACAGAAAACTATTTCATTGAGAATTCAGCATTTATACCTCTAAGACAGTACTTTGATGTATTTTTTTATAAGAGGATAAATAACACCCCAAACTGTCAAGGTCTTGTCCAAAGTGATTTTTGTTTTCTGCTCTAGGGGTGCAACTTGGGACGAAATACAAAAGACCTTCAGAATATGCAAGATTCTTTTGGCCATTTTAAAAATAAGTTACACTGTGCTGATCCATGACCTAAGTTCATTTCAGTTGTGTCAAAGCCTGGTTTCCAGGTGCCCCAGAGCCTGCGTTCCACTCACAGTGTTTGAACACCGGGAAGTTGTCATTGATGTCAGATAAAGTGATGACGACTGTGGCTGTGCTGGAATCCCCAGAAGTCCCTGGAGCATCTTTTGCTTTAACAACAATTTCATATGTTGATTGAGTCTCTCTGTCTAAATCAGGCCTTGTGGTAAAAATCACACCTGTGAAAAGATAACATTGAATATGGTTAGATTTTGCATGTCTATCTCCTCTTAACTTTGGTAACAAGTTTTTATCTTATGCCACACATTCAGCTCTAAGTAGCATTTTTACAGTGGTATTTTTCTAAGGTTAGAAACATTAAAAATCTTTCTGTGTGATGGAATATTAGGAGATTCTGTACAACATTTAAACTGACTTTTTCTGCTTAGAGCAGTCTGACAGTGTCTAAACTTGGTCACTGCAGCCTCTGGAATCTCTCTGAGCATCTCTTTACCTGCACAGTTTGGTCTATAAGACTAATGTGGTTACAAGAGATACTGGCAGTAGTTTTTAAAACTGGGAAAGATTTAACCAGGAAAGTTTAGGAGAGTGAATGATTATTGAATGCTGCTTCAAAATTTATGTATTTCCTTTTCCTATTTGGTCAAAGGAATGGTATCTCTGCTGGTCTGAAAACATTAACTCATCTTAGCTCCTGGTCAGTCTTTTCATCAGTGGGGAAAAACATGACCTTTTATCTTCTCAGTTCATTAAAGGCACCTGGTATCCTGAATTAATTAGCTAATTCCCAGATGCAGGTGGTGACTCTGTGTGGGTGTGAATGAAAAATCTTTCTTAATCATAGTTAAAATCATATTGTTTCATTATTATCCCTCTTTTCCAGAATGAAGAAGGCATAAAATTGTGTTTTCTTCACAGGGTGGGGTAAGGACAGGGTGTAAGGACATGTGTGTATCTCACTTACCAGAGTCATCAATGGTGAAATATTCATCTCCTTTAATGACTTGGTAACTCACCGTGGCGTGACCTGACACTGTTGGGTCATCAGCATCTACAGCTGTCACTTTGGTGACTGAGGTTCCTAGAAAAGGATTTTCAAACAGCATATTTAGCATGAACTCTGCATTTTATCCAGAGACATGAAGGGAAATGACTGACAGAAGAACATACCTACTGGTGACATTTCTGGGACAGATCCATTGAACACTTTTTGTACAAACACGGGCACGTTGTCATTAATATCATAAACCTTGATGATGAATTTAGAGGGGGGTTCCAGTGACTGGTTGTTTCTTCTGTCAATAATGAGAGCTGTCAGCTCATACTCTGCTTTCTTTTCCCTGTCAAGCCTCTCAAAGGCGTAGACATCCCCACTGGTCTCCTCCACTTTGAAGATGGTGTTGGCATATTCCCCTTCGATGATGTACTTGGCGTTGCTGTTCCTCACACTGGATGTGATCTGGGAGGAAAGGATCATTCAGAGAGATAAAAGGGGGCTCTGGCACCTGGATGCAGCCCAGTTTCTGCCAGCAGAGACACGCAGCCAGGATTCCTTCTGTTCAGCTGGAAACCGGCATGGCCAGCAGGACTTCTGCTGTCAGCTGGGGTGTTACTGAGCTAAAGCCCCACAGCAGCTACAGTGGGGTTAGAGGAGGAAACTTGCCTCCAGACTGAAACCTGGTTATGTATCAGCAAGCATTTTTTAAATCATGTCTTGTATTTCTTACAGATATAAAAGGTTCATGCTGTTAACCCGTATAAATTATGAACTGTCTGAAATAACACACACCACCAGGTTCACTTTGAGCTGTTCTTGTTTGCAGGTGACTTTCTGAACCCACCAGGGGTTTTGCTCGGGTTACAGGGGCAAATCTGCATTCCCAGCAGCTGACATTGTTCAGCATTAGTCTCTGTCCCTTAGCATTTAGGAGGATTCCTGCCATAGCTGACAGCTTGCTCGTGTTTTGTCAAATGCAAGCTTTTAAAAGTCAGTCCTCAGGCTCATGCTAGGCCAGTAAGGTTAAATTTCGCCCCATAGATTTGAAAATTGAAGATCACATGCAATGAAAAAGGGATGAGGTAAAAGGAATGAACATTAATCAGTTTCAAAATGTAATTTGATCCAATTCCAAATGCTTTTGTGCATTATTTAATCTGCAAATAATCTGGTGATTCTTCCCTTTCTGTACCTTCTCCCATATTAAGGGCATGGACAGAAGATTTAAACCACAATATTCCACAGACTCTATCAGCATTCTCACTTCAGCAAGCTATTCATCAAGGATTTCTGGGTTTGACCAAGGTTTTTTGATCTTTTGTTACTGATGTTATCATAAATTTCAGCTGCTGAGCGTTCAGGTTTTGATTTATCCTGTAATTGTCATTACTGTTGAATGTTTTTTTAATGTCAGTTTTCTAGCTTGAAACATGTTGCTAACATTTCCTTCCCTCATTTCACATACTTAATCACGTTTCTGGCTGCTGGAGAGCAGTTTACAACTCCAGAGATGTAACAGGAGAAATAACCACCCCCTTGTCTCAAAGCCTGTGCCTTCTTATTCTTTGTAAAAAGTCTAGACTTCTGAGAATGGCTTTTCTAATGCTGAGGATGAGCACACAAAGGGGAGCATCCAAGGTTGGGAAAGATAAAATCAGGATGTCTCAGCCTGTTCCTGCAGCTGTCACTCAGTTCTGCTGCTGTGGCCTTTCTTTAAAGGGTTTATCGAGTGCTCAGAGCTGCAGATGCACCCACACAGCCCTTGCAGAGCAATCAGAACGGGTGCTGCACAAAGGGAATTACTCTTATTTAGGACAGCTCAGGAATGGAAGTGTTCTCCTCAGTCTGGGGTTGAACTGGGCTGAAATGGGCCAGCCATGCCCTGTGTGAGCTGAGGGGACCCTCTGGCCTTTGCTTTGTCCCTCGTGCTTTGTGCCAGGGCTCAGCAGTGATCCAGAAGAGCGTGTTCCACAGCCCTGACTGATGGCAGTGTTGCACCTGGAGGAACCCCCACAACTGCATCTGTCTGCAAAGTGTCACAGTGGTTCAGGGGAAAGACTAGACTGGGAGAACTTTGTCTGGGTGATGCACAGTTAATCCTAGGATTTTATGAGCGCTGCCCTGAAGAAGATGAGTTTGCAAGCAGGTCCATGCTCGTTATTATTTTAAAAAATTGTTTTCTTTTGCTTTGTGAAACAATTTTTTTGGTTGTGTAACAGCACTGCTAAACATAACACCTCTGTTTAGCATCCAGGCTGAGAGATGTGAACTGTGTGTTTTTTAAGGCATTTGTTTTTATTTGCTGATCTCTGAGGTTTCTGAAAGAATCCTGTGCTACCAGAAAAACATTGACAAACATCAGGCACCAGCCTCCTTCATGACTGTGCACCTTGCACTGAGGATGCTCCATACCTGCCATTCCCTAAAATTTATTTGTATTCTCCAAATGAATGAGAGTCCCTTTGACATTGTTATTGATTTACTCTTTGCCCAAGATTTTAACACATTAATATGTAAGTATTACATCCCATTCTACTTCTATTTTTTCTCTGCTGCCCAGACTGCAAACAAGCAGTGCTTTCCAAGGTCCTCATTTACTGCTTTCTGCTCCTTCTTTGCTGACAGATTGCTGCTTACCTTGCCCACATGGTGTGGCAATGGGGCATCAATCTCTTCTTTGATGTGCATTTGGTTCCATATCCAGTCTCTCTTCAGCCGTTTGTGACTGGCCTTGTTTGATAAAAGGTTTTGAGGTTTTTCCTGACTTTCTTTGTCAGCAAATGCTAGAGTGAAAAGCAAGGAGTGGAGTAGAATAATGTAGTCCATCTTCTTCTGTGGCCTAGAAAGGAATATAAAAATGAAAATATATAACTAATAACAGAATGAGATTAAGCAGAGAGAGCACATGTAGAAGTGCAAATGGACATTCCTTCTGCAGGGGAGTTTAATTACTTTATTTCTTTGCATTTGCCTTAGCACCAACATTTGAAATGTCAGGCTTCTTCCTTCCATGAAAGACTTTTAAGTGTAAAAACCAACAACAAATATTTTAATGAAATAAAATGTGTTTTGAAAGCTGACACAGAAGTGGCTGGGGTGACCATTGTTACTCTGAGGAGCAGACTGAGCAGGAAGATCCCTCTGGACGGTGCTGCCCATGGCAGAGGCTGGGCCAGGTCAAAGTTTGTGTTCACAGCTCCACTTGAAATGAAGTGTTCTATCTTGACAAACCCAAATGCAATGTTTTGACATGCCCTGACACAAAATATGCTGTAGTCATTGTCTTCATATGGAAAATATTGACTTAGAATAAAAACTGGTGTTTGTTTTTTTTTTTTTCTGGAAAAAGTGGTTGCTGTGAAATTTCCAATTGATTGTAAGTACAATATAGCAAATTATCTTCCTCAAAGACCTTATTTATTGATTCAATTCATTGTGTTTGGAAACTTTTGAAGACACATGTGAAGTTTCTTTATACCCTGTTTTCAGGCTTTACCATCTACAACATGATAATTTGTGAAATATGAAATCATATTTGTGCATGGTGTTTTAATATTAGCAAACTCCAGGCCTGACTTCCATATCACATTTGAGCAGTTATTTTGATGTAGCAAAGCTGATTAATTTTCTTACTAAATTTCCCTTTCCCAATATAAAGGACTGTCAGGGAACTTTAACACTCAAGTAATCAGGCTTTCAATTGCACATAAATGACTTTCCATTAGCTTTTAGGAGCTGTCAGTGTGCACATCAAAAATAAACCTGTTAATTGTGATGAGAAGTTGACATCACACATGTTGCTGGATGTGAGATTAAATTAATATTTTTGTCAGGAAGGTGCTGAGACGTTTCCAAAATTACTCTTTGGTAAGCAGGCAATCAGCGTTATCCTGTGGCGCAACATCATTGTCAGGAAAAAGACTTTATTTACCGTGAAATTTTGCTTTCCTGTGCTTTTCTCTGTCCTACATTGTTGTACATAAGCTGAGGAACATTCCTCCTTTGTGGCTCTGAAGGAAGTGACCGAATAAAGTGGCTTTGAAGTTGCTTTTTAGTAGCTCAGCTGTGCTTAACACAGTTTTCTGGATTCAAACAAAACCTTTTGAGTGAGCTGGTTTTTTGTATTCTATGGACTTACTTTAAATATTTTTAGAAAAATTAGTAAGATTTAGTTGTTTTTCTATGTTTTATTTGCGTACATGGAGACTTTACAACTGGAAACTGGAAGGCAGTGATTTGATTCTGTTGTGATCAAGTAAGTGTGTCTTTCATCCATAAAATGACAAAACACGGTAACCAAAGGAAACCAGTTGGTTGATGCCAACTAGTACAGGCTGTGGTTTTGCAAAAAGCAGAGTGTAGTGTTTAAAAAGTTCTTTTCTCTTGTTGCTCTGGTAAGTGGAGCTCTCCTGTACTGCTGTTGGGAAACTTGGCCATTAATACAGAAAGTGCTGACTGAATCTTTTTAAATGTGTTTGCATTTCAGCTGCAACTTAAGCTAGCCCTTCCACTCAGCAGATCCATCTTTCTGTTCTTAGATTTGAAGGTGGCTTCACTTCCTTTAACTACTCATTAATGGTTTCCTTGTTAATACTTGCCCAGCCTCCTTGGTAAGTTAATATTCATTTGTGAGTAGTTTGATGGAGCTTGGCCTGCCCTTTGGTTCCCACTGTGGGTCAAACACAGGCTGAGATGGCAGAGCCTCCTGTAAAAAGTGGCTCCTGCTTGGCATCTTTGAGAACTGCTCATTTTGGCAGCAGTGACAGCGCACGCTCACATTTGGTGTGCTCTGCTCTGGGGATATCTGATGGTCACTGCTCCATAGGGCAGGCTGGCTCTGAGGACACCTCCTCTAGGGTACCACGCAGGTTTTGCATTTGGCCATTGCTGTTGAGGCTGTCACTGAATTCATCATTTCAGAATCCCCTTCGTTGGCAGCACACACAGACACTTCAGGAGCAGTGGCTGGATGAGGGCACTGTCCTGGTGTGAAGGCCATGGTAGCCCTTGACAAGTTGTACTAAATGCTCTCTTTTCTGGCCTTGACAGGTTTCATTTCCAGCAGATCTCATTGGAAATGCCAGAGGCAGTGGCAGAACAGAGATATTCCCGTGCCTGGGCAGGAGAATGCGTTCCCATGGAGTCAGGAGAGAGACAGTTCTGGGGGGTGACAGGGAACGACATTTCACTTCTTCTCATGCCTGCTGTGGCAGCCAGGACTGAGGAGAGTAAATCACATGCACCCCTTCAAACAATGACCCCTGTGGCCACAGGCTCCTGGAGAAGGGCAAGCACAGCCTGGGCTGTGCCCAATCTCTGCCACGTGGCTCTCCCTGGATGCTCCCAGGAGATCCCTTCCCTGGATGCTGCCAGGAGGTCCCTTCCCTGGATGCTGCCAGGAGATCCCTTCCCTGGATGCTGCCAGGAGATCCCTTCCCTGGATGCTGCCAGGAGGTCCCTTCCCTGGATGCTGCCAGGAGGTCCCTTCCCTGGATGCTGCCAGGAGATCCCTTCCCTGGATGCTGCCAGGAGATCCCTTCCCTGGATGCTGCCAGGAGGTCCCTTCCCTGGATGCTGCCAGGAGGTCCCTTCCCTGCTCTCCCCTAGTGTGCAGTCCCCCATTATCCCTCTGTCCTTGACTGATTAGCCCAATAATTCAAACTTCTTTCAATTTAAGCAGGGACCATAAATGTTCCTGAAAGTTAGCAGGGGAATGGTTTATTCAAGCAGCTGAGTTTCTTGCATTGCTCTTAAATTTTGTCTTGGCAAATGATGGGTTTTTCCACCCATATTATTCATTTTATATGTTGAATTATTTTAGCAAATAACTCTTGGTCTGCAGGGTACTATAGAGAGTTACCTGAGAAATTCTGGTATTCAAAGTGATTTAATGGACACATGGCTCATATAGTGAAGTTTCTTCTTGCAGACTGGGAGTAATTATTAAAAAGTCAGGTGGAGATACAGACAATACTGTACTAATTAAAAGTTTGCATTTTACAAGTTGTTTTGATAAGTAATCAACTGTAAGGGTGATGAACAGCTAATATAAATAAGATCTCTATATAATGAAAACACTGGAAGAAATATTCCTACGAACATTTATGGGGTTTTTTTTATGCTATTTGCCTCTCACCTGGTTCACTTCTCACTCTAAAAGTGTATATTAATGATTATGCAAGGCTAGTTTATTTTTCAAAGGAATTAGTTCTATGCTTGCATGTTAAAAAGAAGTTAAACCAGGTTTCTGTACAGAGGCTTTGGGAAATGAGACAGTTACATCTGAAATTATGTATTTTTCTGGTTGATCAGACTAAAACTCGTGCTTATCTTTGAGAATTTTTCAGCCCCCCAAAAACCCAAATAGTGGTAGAGGAGTGATAAAGAACATCCTGAGATGAACAAAATTCTATCATGCACCAGAAAAGAAATACATTGTCAAAGGCTTGTGACCCTGTTGTTGAGATAACTTTCACATCTGGTTGTGAGGAAGGCTGACAATGAAAGATTATTTTGTTTACAGTATCTTGGCTGGGATCTGAATGATGCAAACGAAAAAAAAAACCCATACAAAAAATTAGGGTTTCACAGAGCGGACAACACTGCAATTTTTTTTTTTCAGTTGTAGAAAATGTACTTTGTTATACTGTCTAAACACTCCAAAACTGCTGCACTCAGTGAGGATGATGGACACAGAGAGCAGAAACTGCCCCAGTGTCCAGTAACACAATGACTCTGAAGAGCCTGGCCACACAATACCTATTTAATTTCTCATCTCTATGATGTGCAAAACCAAAAGTAAATGTGTGAAGGCAATGAGCCTCAAGAAACAGAAACTTAGAACACCACACACGGGAGGAGGATAAATGATCTTTTCCCCTTTAAGTGCCTGTAGTTTTGGTAAGAAGGCAAAGCATTATTAAAAGAAAATAGCCCTCATAGTACTTAATCTACCTTTCATGGACTGTGAAGGGCTGTGCAAACACATGGCAAAGCTCCTCATGTGGCTGTGAAAAGCCCTACAGCCACTTAAAAAGCATTATCCCTTTTAAAGATGAATTTGAAGCACAGATGACATAAAGGTGTCTGTGATCTCCTGACAGGGGCAGGGGCAGGAGTACCAAGAGTCTCAGATTTTATTCTCCACCTCATAATTAGTCTCAGATTTTGTTCTTTGTGTCATAATTAGACAATGTTGCTCCAACCAACCTCGAACACCCCAGAGAAACACCCCAAGGGACCACATGGATATGTTTGTTACCTGCACTCCGGGTTCTCCTGGGCATCTACAGGATCCTCCTTCTCTTGGGGAGCTCAGTGTGAGAGGGGCTGAGTGCTCACAGTGACAGTGGGAACCAGGCAGGGCTTCAAACTGCAGTGACACCACTTAAAAAAAGCTGTCTCAGTAAATTCTGCAACATTTGACTTGTAGTAATCTTTTTTTTTTTTTTTTTTTTTTTGCATTTTCAGATATAATTTTTTTCAGGGTGGTCACTCAGTGTTTTCCCCTGCTTTGTCACTTGTCCTCAAGAGGGAACAATGATTGAAACAGGCCTTTCCTGAGAGCACTGTGCTGCTTTTTCCTTTCTGCTTTATTGAGCTGATTTAAATGGGCCTGACTACCTGGTGTTATATTTTTGACTGCCTTTATGGCAATTTTATGCATCTGAGAAGTGGGTTCCACTGATGACTAAAGAGCTTGGAGTTCAAATGCCTACCTGCACACTGATTCTAAAAAGACATTTTCTATGCATGATGGTGCCTTTAGGTAAATAGCCACTTTGATGACTAAACAATCTGGAGTGCAAATGCCTGCCTGAAAACTCATTGTGAAATGACATTTTATACTTGTGATAGTACCTTTGAATGAATAGCCACTTCAGCAATGTCTAAAGTAAACCTGCCACTTTAAAAATAACCCCACACATCACTCAGTGTTGTGAGAGCTCTTTTGCTGCCTTTGGTGCTGCTCAGTCCTCAGTGTTGATGCTGCAGCTTCAACAGGTGAGGACAGAATTCAGCGCTTCTGATTTTCGCTCAGGATTTGGCTCCTCATATTTTTTTTTTTTCCTAGGGAAAAAGAGAACTAATTCTAATGTGAAATTGTTTTGTGTTTTTTTTCCCCTGCCCGTTCAGCTCCCCAGAAAATCCTCTCCTGGATGATGGAAAATACAAACAGCTCATGGATGGATGGAGTCCTCAGCCAGGACAGATTCCTCTTTTGGAAATGAAGACATTTGGCTATACAAGGCCTATAAATACTTGCTGTGTGTACATTAAAGGTTTATTACCTTGGGGCTCCCAGTCTTTTCGTTATCTCAGATACAGAACTGGCTAAAAATGGGGGAGGCAAAACCATTTTGTTCGGGTTTTTTTTTGGTTGGTTTTTGTTGTTGTTGTTGTTGTTTTTAAGAAACAAAGCCACTCTCCAAGCCTGTGGGTGGCAGCTTGTGCACTGAAGATGGGTGAGCAGCAAGAATGAATCCTCTCAAAGGTCCTCCCAGAGCTTCCTGACACCCCTGCTTGCATTTTAGTGAGTGACCTGCTGGCACCAGGTTTAAAGGGCTTCACTGAATCCTGAGAGAAGGGTAGATGAAAAGGCAGAGTGGGAACTGAAAATAAGAAATGTATGGCCTGAGAAGACATTTGTTGTAAACAGAATGATTTCTGCTGGTAAATGCTGGTTGAGAGAATTCCGAGGCAAGTCTGTTGGACAGTCAAGCACCAAGGCCCAAAGTCTCAGATCTTGAAGGATTAAACAATTTCTCTTGATTTCTAGTTAACCTTCTCTTAATGTGCATTTTCCCAAAACTTTCAAAAACAGATTTGCAGTTTGGAGAGTGCTGTCTGTGCTCCTACATGACTCATGTCTGATAAGGAATGGACTAGTTATAAAACCATGGGGGTTTATGTTTGTTTATTTGTTTGTGTTTTGTGGTTTTTATTTGTTTGGTTTTTCGGGTTTTGTTGTTGTTCTTGTTGTTTTTAGTGTGTCTTGCTGGTGGTGGTTCACCTGTACAGCTTGGAATCAGCTCTCAATTGGGCTACTGTTGGACTTCAAGAAGACCTCACACAGTATCTTCTCCTGTGAGAATTTGGAGGAGATGGGCTGACAGATTGTGCCTGATTGTTCTGTGTTCTTTACCTGTAGCCTTTTGTGGATAGTGTTTGTTTAAATCTGTCTGAAACACTTCTGCTTGTGGAAATTAATCCCATACATGCTCTAATAAAACATGTGGCTCTATTTCTATGTACCTGTAGGATCTGTACAAACGTAAGCAACTTCCACATAGGTCAAGAGAAACTAGGGCTAATTTTCATGTGTCATGTCAAAAGTCCTACACAGTGAAGTCAGCCAGCCAAGAGGGACTGCTTCTCTGCTTCATGTGCACGAGCTTGGATTGCTATTCTCATTTTTAATCAAATAATTTTTCTGTCAACCTTTAGTAACCTGATTTTTATCTGAGTTTCTTACTTGTGAATCTAATAATTGCGAAACAAATTAAATATATGTTTATGTTTTAGTTACTGGATTGGTCTTTCCATGGACTTTAAGGAAGCACTAGTTTTGGACTAGCTAAAGAATTAATTCTTGAATTACTTTTGTTGTTGAAATGACTGCACTGTGTAAGTGGTGGTTGTTTGCCATGGTGAGGATGACACACCATGGAGGTAAAACAACACTTTGAAGTCATTAAAATGGGTGATGAGCACACACTTTGCGCTCTCCTCATCAGATTGGTTGTGCAAAATTGCTGTTTTAAAAGATGGCTGTTTTCCTTTCCTATGAGCATCCTGGTTTGTCTGGCAAGTAATCCCCAGTGTTGGTAAAACTGCCTTGCCCAGGACAGAAACAGTGATGGAGGTCTGTCAGCCAGAGGTCCATCAGTCCTTGGGTGACTCTTGAGAATGTTCCTCATTTCCCACTCTCACATGCAGATCATGTCTCCTGGCAGGTGCAGAATCCCTGTCTTGGCTCGTTTTTTCATGATAAAGTTAATTGTCATCACAGAGACTGTAGAGATACTTGAGTGCTGGTGAAAACAGTTTGAAATGGAGCAGATACAGGACATGAAGCACTGAAATCTGTGTCCTGGTGCTGCTGCAGGGTTCTTGCTCCAGCCTTCTACTACAGTCACAGAATGCTTTACTATAAAAGCTTTCCCTGAAGTGTCCCCAAAGTGGATTAGAGACCTTTAAAGAAGAAGCAAGTGGTATTGTCCAGTCTTCCCATGCATAAAGCCTTTCACTTCACATAAAATATGTCATTTTACTTCACATACAAATCTGTGAGTACAAACTACAGCAAGGGATAAAATGTGCATAAGCACAATGCCCAGTATGAACCCAGCTGCTCAAATACGTTGAAGCTCAACTGTGATTAAACTATTAAACCAATTTTTGATGCTGTTTCATAACAAATAAATATATTATCATAAACAGAAGGTTTGGGCATTCTCTGAGTTGTTGCCAGCATGGACAGCGTGGAGTTTTAAGGTCACAAAGCTCTTTGCAGCTTCTGCTCTCTGGGAGCAGGTATATGAAGGCTGAATGACTCCTGAGGAGCAGCATTCTGGTGTTTAGTGAATGTGCTCAAAACCCCAGGCAGAGTTTAGGTATTGGTGCAGAACATTATTAGCTCCTCATCCCTGTATCACAGCGATTCTGGACTCTGTTGGTTTAGAGTGATGTTAAAATCAAGAAGCCAGTAGTACCTATGACTGGTGTGACTTACTGGTTTGCAGATGTTGCAGGGATGAAACTCATGATCATGTGACAGAAAATTTGTTCTTGGCTACATCTTTTGATGACGGTTGCCAAATGCTGTTGAAATCTGAGATATTTTGGGGGTTTAACTTTGCATTAGATAGAGCCCTGTTCTGAAGCGAGCTGATAAGGTGGGTGGGATAACCCTGCCTCATAGTCTGGA